ATACAGTTTTACCTGCTTTGCTTTTCCTGCTCCACATTTTTTGACTCTAGCTTCCAGCATTTGCAGTCCTTTCTGTCTTGAAGTGTAACAGAGGTCAACAAAAGAATGTGTAATTGGAAGACGAATGGTGTGCATGAGTAAAGACTCTAGACAAGTTAAAAGGGCTGAAAATGAGCAATACATCACAGTTCCAGAAAAAAAAAAGCTGGCATCTAAAACTAGAAAACACCTAGCCTGGAGAAATTCATAAATACATGAAATATGAAGAACCACTGAGGGCTAAGAGAGAAAAAAATAACTGTTGAAGGGTTAACTACCATCATACTTAAAATAAGTATATTAGTGTCTGATGTGAAGAGAAGTTACTCAAATCTTTCAAGTCAGCCAGCCATAAAGTGAGTTTGTAGCTGAGTGGGAGATGGGGAAGACACTTCAATATATATTTCCTTTTCCTGCTGTGTACATCCCTCCACAAATGTGACATAAATAATAATATGGATAAAAGCTTTGCTACTAAATTGTCTTGCAGTGACCATCCCATGCACCAAGGTCAACATGATAAACATTATATCTTGAAGAAGGAAATCCTCTCTCAAATGATTGCGAAATGATTTTGAAGAAGTGACCAGGAAGATTGATGAGGGCAGGACGGTAGACATGGTCTACATGGATTTCAGATAAGATTCCACATGGTAGACTGCTCTGGAAGGTTAGATCGTATGAAATCCAGGGAGACCTGGCAAATTGGATACACAATTGGCTTGATGGTAGGAAGCAGAGAGTAACAGTGGAATAATGCTTGTCGGACTGGAGACCTGTGATGACTTGTGCGCCTCAGGGGTCGGTTCTGGGCCCATTACTGTTTGTCGTCTACATCAATGATTTGGATGAAAATGTAGAAGGCATGATTAGTAAGTTTGTGAAGGACACTAAAATAGGTGGTATCGCGGACAGTGAGGAAGTTTATCAGAAATTGCAACAAGATCTTGATCAGCTGGAGAAATAGCCTGAGAAATGGCAAATAAGGTTTAATATAGATAAGTGTGAGGTGTTGCATTTTGGAAAGTCAAATCAAGGTAGGAGTTTCATGGTGAATGGTAGGGCCTTAAGGAGTGTAGTGGAACAGAGGGACCTTGGAGTTCAGGTACATGGTTCTCTGAAAGTGGAGTCACAGGTAGACAGGGCAGTGGAGAAGGCTTTTGGCACACTGGCCTTCATCAGTCAGGGCACTGAGTACAGAAGTTGGGGGAAGATAAGTTGCAGTTGTACAGGATATTGGTGAGGCTGCATTTGGAGCATTGCGTTCAGTTTTGGTCGCTTTGCCACAGGAAGGATGTTATTAAAGAAGAAATTTACAAGGATGTTACCAGGACTCAAGGGACTGAGTTATACGGAGAGGTTGGTCAAGTTAGGACTTCTTTCTTCACAGTGTAGCAGCCTGAGGGGGGGGATCTCATAGAAGTTTATAAGATCATGAGAGGCATGGATAGGGTGAATGCACTCAGTCTTTTTTCCCAGGGTTGGGGATTCAAGGACTAGAGTGCATCAGTTTAAAGTAAGAGAGGAATGAATACATTAGAACCTGAGGGGTAGTAAGAACTGTCAACGCTGGAGTCAGAGATAACACAGCGTGGAGCTGGAGGAACACAGCAGGCCAGTCAGCATCTGAGGAGCAGGAAAGCTGAAAAATATTTTTCTGGAAGAAGGGTCAGCTTTCCTGCTCCTCAGATGCTGCCTGGCCTGCTGTGATCCTCCAGCTCCACACTGTGTTATCAGAACCTGAGGGGCAACTGTTTTACACAGAGATTGGTATGCATATGGAATGAGCTGCCAGCAGATGTGGTTGAGGCAGGTACATTAACAACATTAAAAAGGCATTTGGACTAATACATGGAAAGGAAAGGTTAAGAAGGATATGGGCCAAGTGCAGGAAAATGGGGTTAGTGTGGATGGACATTTTGGTCGGCATGGACCCATTTGGGCTGAAGGGCCTGTCTCCATGCTGTAGGGCTCTGTGACTCTATGACCGTATGCAATCAGCTTGAAGCAGGAACAAAGTAATTGTATGGACTGAGTCTAGTGTTGAGTTCCAAATAAAAGTCAACTGATTCAAAATTAATTCTATTTCTCTGCAGACACTGTCAGGGCTCACAGATTTCTCCAGCACTTTCTGTTTCTATTTCAGATTTCCAGTATCTGTAGTATTTTGCCGTTGTAATAGTGTACGGGCTGATATCTGTTGGCTCTCTGGAATGCTGACTATCAGGTGCATCTAGAATGTCTGCACAAATCACTTCTTTGCAATAATTTGACGTACGCATGTAACTACTCATTGGGAAGTGGTGAGCTTAGGCTGTTTAACTTCAGCTGCTGAATCACAAGTGCCATTTTCAATTTTTTTATAACTATTTCTAAGCAGCATTTGTGCAAACAATCATTTTATGCTTTAGGGAAACATCAATCAATTGACCACAATAAATTTCTGATCAAACTCAATGTTCAGAAGAAGCAACGCTTCAGATAAAATGTTTTTTCTTTGAAGTCTACAAATGTGATGCCATAGTGGGTAAAATCCATCACGTGAAACTCAATAAACCTTTAGATTAAAAAGAGGCCAACAATCTAGCCTTTAAACCCATGGGGTTAACTTTTCACTGCCAGGTTGGGTGTGCAGAGTTGGGCAATTTCCTGACCTGGCGAACCTGGCTCAGGTGAAGCATCCCTGAGTGGCCAGATTTTCATTCCCACAGTATTGGAGGAGGTTGGGACCACAGGAAATATAGTGAAGTTGACTCACCACCCTGGAAACAACATGGAGGAAGTCACAAGGGCTGATAAATGCTGAGGCAGACTCAATTTCTTGAGATTTTCCCAGTTATATTAGAAACAGTAAGACTCTCCAGACCTCTTCCCTCACAAGACCACACTCCTCACACACTTGCCATGCCTCATTCATGTCAATTCATACCTCATAGTTCCTCATATCTTGGATGGCAACCTATGTCTGTCTACCCACCCCCATGGTCTCTTATAGCTACCATGCCAATTCACCTTGTTTTTTGAACTGACTGCCATGCACGGACTTCTTTAAAAAAAAACACTCATTGATTGATTTAATACATTCAAATCACTTGTAATAAACATGTCTAATCTTAGACCCACACCAAAGGCAGCTTATCTCTAATTAAATAATTTGAAGCGGTCAATAAAGTTCTAAACTCAAACCCACCTTCGAAAATGATAAATTGTGGAAGGAGTCAAGCAACAATGATCCTTTAATCATTATCATCAGAGTTATGTCAATAAATATCAATTGAAATTACAAGCACTAATTTTATTTTAACTGCAGGTATTATTTTGCCATAAAATATATAGAGCAGGGGATTTAACTGACTTGGTAGTCCGACAATTCCACAGACTTTATCCACTTTTTATGCACATTTATGTTCACTCTTTGCAACTCAAAGGAGTACCTGACCTCTCCAAAGAAATTTGGCAGGTTTCTCTAATTTATCATTGTTTGGAAATAACAGTAACAAAAATTGCTGAATGAAGGTAGCTGCATTTATAATTGTGCTGCTGCCTATGTGAACCCCAAATGCACATGTACATCCCACACCCAGTTTCCACGTCACTTGGCAAAAATGGTGATGGTGATGAGGATAGGTCTTCCAGATTCAGAGATCCAGCATCAGTTTGGCTTGGGTGCAAAGCCCTTTGTGAAAATTCTGGCTGTTGTATTCAAATTACAACACTGGAAAGCATCATTTCATTTAACCCTGCATACTGAGGGGAAGAAGTAGAGCCACAGAAACCTGTATCTATTTAATGCAAGTTCCAGGGTTGACTAACACCAAGAAAAACTGCCTTTATACTGTAATTATAACAATCTTTTCCTTCTTGAGATATGGTCAAAATAAGTTGCGATATTCAGTAAATTGCACTAGATGACTAAAACCAAGATTGTAATATCTTAACTATATTTCACACGCTAGGTATTATCCCTAGAAGGGTGAAACAATGATAGAATAGTTTATGGTTTTGCTCAACTTTGCCCTTTAGAAGAACACTGCATTTTTGAGATTTGCAGTTTACATCTGAGACTGTCCGGCGAAGGTGAGAATTGCAGTGATGTTAAAAGGTGGTATGTGTGATTACTCTGCATAAATAATGATATGGCTGATGTACCCTAACTTTGCAAAGAGGGCTGTTAAGCTTTAGAAACTTAATAACTTATAATGGTGCCATTTTAGTTGAGATTCCAGAACAGTGTCTACGAACTAGATCTTATACTCCAAGATCTTTCAACTACATAAGCATCAATGGGATCCTCAAACCAAAGTATCAACAGTCATCTACATGTGAAAGGTAAAACTGTTAAGTCTTAACGATGCTTGAGTGAAACCTTTAAAACTGTTCTGCCTGACTGTGAATTGGGAAACTCCAATTTCTAGTATGAACAAGAATTAACATGCCTTGCTTAATCCATGTACCAAATCACAATAGACTTGTAGCCTGACCCAGTGCTTTATTTTATGGGTTTGCTACCCAGATAACAGAGTCAAAATATGCTTTGTAAATACTGGTACCCAGATCTTGGATTTCAATTTCATAGACACAAATTAAATCATTCAAGTAAAGATAGTTCTTGTTATATATATTCGCAAAAACTTACTCAAAAGATGTACTCAGTGCAGAAAATTGGCAGATTCTAACATTCTTTATAAAGTCTAGGACAAAGGTCATACTACTATTCCTTCCAATGCTACAATTGTGTGACTTCTTCAGTATTACAGTTATTTTCACCAAGATACAGCCAGCAAAACTATACAGAGGACAATTTCAGCTGAATAAGATTCTTTCCCAAAAGCTCAAATGGAAGTGCTGTTATTGAATTGTCTAATATAATTTTTGCATAGCAAGCAGAAGCATTGCATTAGCTAATTCACTTCCTGACCATTCGACACTGGAAATGGTCAGGATCAAAACATTCTACTTACGTGCCCGAATATACTTCAATGGATAGTGTTGGCTCCACAATACCATATGTTTCTATTTCTTCCATGTCATCGATGTATGTTGTTTTCCTTCCCAGACCACCTAATTCTGTGCATAAATCTATTTCTGGTAAACCCCATTTCTGCAAAAGATAATAAATTAGATCTTCAGACCATTATATTCTTGGCAATTATTTGGCCCCCAACAAGAAAGCTTTGATTATCTCAAAACACACAGACATCAGACAAAGCATCCTTCGGCAGGATCCATGCTTACTACTAAAAACAATGAAATACTACTAGAATAGGCTCCATTGTATTTATATTTATTATTACACCTTTATTTCACTGATACTAAAAATAGGCCTTTGATCTCATGCATATTTGTGACTTTTATCACCAACATTAAATTATGGATAATTTGGCGATGAGCAGAATCCAGTACAACAGAAAAGTGCATTTAATTGTTTCTTGATTCATACTTCTTCCTTTCATTTGGATTTGAGTTGTGCAATTTCTTGTTTGTGTTTGCTTGCCTTCACCTTCCCTATCCTTTTTGACTTTCACGACCTGCTAAAGTTTAATCAACCAATAAAGTTTCATTTTCTTCAACGAACAACATCTTCAAACATCAAGAGCAGTGTATTCTGTTGAGGTTGGTTGGCTCGCCGAGCTGGTTTGTTGTTCCGCAGACATTTTGTTACCATGCTGCGTAACATCATCAGTGCAGCCTCCGATGAAGCATCGGTGTGTTTTCCCGCCTGGTTTTTTTAATTCTGGAGTCCGTTCAGCTGGATTGCTTCACTTCCAGTTTTCCTTCGTAGTGGAGTGTATATGGGGTGGAGTTCTATTTGTTTATTGATGGCTTTCTTTGTGGAATACCAGGCTTCTAGGAATTCCCATGCCTGTCTCTGCTTAGCTTGTCACAGGATTTTGGTGTTGTCCCAGTCGAACTGGTGGTTCTCCCTACCCATGTGGATTGAGATGAGTGAGTATTGGTCGTGTCTTTTTGTGGCCAACTGGTGTTCATGTACTCTCGTTGTTAGTTTCCTTCCTGTTTGTCCGATGTAGTGTTTCTCACAGTCTCTGCAGGGGATCTTGTAGATGACACTGGTCCTGTCCATGGCGGGGAGCGGCTCTTTAGTTCAGGTAAGCAGTTGTCGTAGGGTTGATGTGGGTTCGTGTGCCACTCTGATGCCCAGCGGTTGTAGGAGTCTTGTGGTTAGGTCCGATGTGTTCCTGATGTAGGGTAGTGTGATGAGTGTGTCGGGGCGTGTAGTATCTTCCTGATGTTGTTCATGCAGGCATCTTCTGACCCAGTTTTTTGGATATCCATTATCCTTGAAAATCTGGAAGAGGTATTCTTCTTCCTCTTGGCGTAGTTCTGTGTTGCTGCAGTGTGTTGTTGCCTGTTTAAATAGTGTTTGCTCACAGCTTCATTTGTGTGTGTTGGGATGGTTACTGTTGAAGTTCAGTACCTGGTCCGTGTGTGTGGCTTTTCTGTGTACTTTCGTTTGCAGTTCCCCATTTGTCTTGCGCTCTACCATGACATCCAGGAATGGGAGCTGTTTGTTCTTCTCCTCCTCTCTGGTGAATTTTATTCCAGTGAGGGTGTTGTTTATAAGTTTGTGTGTCTCCTCTAGTTTGGTCCGTTTAATGATGACAAAGGTGTCATCCACGTAGCGTATCCATAGTTTTGATTGGATTACGAAGGAAAACTGGAAGTGAGGCAATCCAGCTCAATGGACTCCAGAGTTTAAAAATCAGGCGAGAAAAAAACACAGCGACACTTCATCGGAGGCTGCACTGATGATGTTACCCAGCACAGTAACGAAATGTCTGCGGAACAACAAACCAGATCGGCGAGCCAACCAACCTCAACACCCATAACCCAAGCTACAAATCTACTCCAAAACAGTAGTGTATTCTTTCAATCTGTTTTCTCTCCTCCAATCTATGTAGCATATCTCGCTTATTTTGACCCTGTAACCTTTTAACTTCATATGATGCACAATGACAGCAATCAACTAATGCTCCAAGATTTCACAAACTTCCAAAAATACTAAAATTTGATTTGTTACTTGCTACATAGCTACTTTTCACATTGAAGGCAGTGAATACATGGTTTGCTGCCTTTCCACAAGTGTAGGTTTATTTAGCAGTCACAATTTATCACCATTTATCATAGCTTCTGCATTTCATTTCAATCCTAAATCTGATGCTGCTTGGCCTGCTGTGTTCATCCAGCTCTACGCCTTGTTATCTCTGATATATCTTATTGTTTTGTTTCTTTTATTCATCCAGTCAGCTGGATCGGCAGCATTTATTGTCTCTCCCTAATGGCCCAAAGGGCAGTTAAGAGTCAACCACATTGCTGTGGGGTCTGGAGTCACATGTAGGCCAGACCAGTTAAGGATGGCAGTTTCCTTCCCTAAAGGACATTAGTGAAACGGATGGGTTTTTCCAACATTGATGATGGATTCATCGTCATCATTAGACTCTTAATTCCTGATTTTTATTGAATTCAAATTCCATCATCTGCCACGGCAGGATTCGAACCCCAGTCCCCAGAACATTACCTTGGGTCTCTGGATTCCAGCAATAAAACCATTAGGCAATCACTTCTCCATTTGTACCCTCTAAGATACTGGAAAAGCTCTTTCTGATTCTTTTACTTCCCCCTCTCATAGTCTCTTTCTAGTGGAATTAACCAACAGACTGGGATATTTTCTTGTCTAAGCGTAGCAGGTATTTTGGCAAAAGGAAGAATTTTGAGACATGAGCAAAACGCATAAGGTAAAATATGGAAAAAGAAAGCATATTCAATCTCCTGATATCCTACTGAAAATTCAGAAGTCTTTGTAATTGATGACAAATCAAATCGAACATGTGGATCAATAACTGGCTACTTCCTGTCTTAAAAATTTAAAAAGCACATTTACCTTGACTATTCTTCCTAAAGAGCCAATCAAACACTCATTAGGAGTAGATATTAATGTATCATCACAACTGTCTTCAGTCATCTCCTTTCCCCAAATATCTGCAAGATTCAAGAAACCTTCTTCCAATGCAATTTTATCACCTTCAAAGTTAGGCTTTTGATAAAGGATCCAACTGTTGGGAAAAATTTAAAACATTGATATCAACACAATGAATACCAGTCACACAATATTTATGAAATTTTGTCTCACTTGAACAGTTCTATTTAGGTTTTAGTGCACATTATTTACTTCCCAGTCTAGTAAGTTCAAGAATACTCAGAAGACTAAGAGAAAGAACCTTCAACAGTCAATGGATATAATGAGACAGCTAAATAGGGAGATGTGAACCCACTGGAATCTGCAAAAGACTTTGGACTGCTTCCCACAAGGACTGCAATTCTTCAGAGAGCATGCTGTAACATATACATGAAGCATCTGGTCATGGATCTTGATAAGACACTAACAAGGACTCTGGAGCACAACATAGGGTGATAAACCCCAGGAGAGGAAAAGGGGCATTAAGCTTGTTTCTAGAATTGAACTGTGTGGGCCACCAAAAAGGAGATCTTAGAGGAGGGTACAGAGCACATGTGCAGGTGCAGGTTTTGCATGAATGAAACTTGAACATCACAAACTCAGGACAAGCAGCATCTCAGTGTCAACCAAACTAGAATATGGGACAACTGACCCTGAGAAGATTGATCACACTGCATATTTTGAAAATTGCATAGTTAAGCGGCACCATTGAATTATTCTCAACAACATTTATTCTTTTGTCGGTGGTGATTCCAGTTCATGTTTTGTCCTCCCAAGTTCCCTCATTTGTAGAGGGCCCATGTATGAAGGATCGTACCTCAAGCCATGTCTGCACCCTTAGCCGAGCTTTACCAGCTCGACTCCTGCAGGGGCCACTTGGTTCCGGAACCCGGATTCTCATGTGGGCAAAGAACAAAATTGACAAATTCTAAGAAAATAAAAGGAACGCTTTAACAGGGTTGGATGGGAGTGGAGGTGTCAGGGAGGTGGGATTCAGGATAGCTCCTGTTGATGGATGCGAGGGCCAGGAAAGGTTAAATTCTGATGAAGTTTCTAGAGTTCATGATTAATTAAGGAAAACTAGCACACAGGTTTGTTAAGGGAAAATCTTGTTTAACTGACTTGTTTGAGTTTTGATGGGGTGATAGAGAGGAGCAAAGGGATCAGGGTGTAAATGCACAGTTGAGAGTGCAGTTAATAAAGCAAGCAGCACCCTGGACTTTAAAGGAGGCAGAGTGCAAAAAGCAAGGAAGTTATGCTAAACTTGTATGGAACACTGATTCCTCAAAAGGAGTATTGCATCCAGTTCTAGACACCACAACTGAGGAGGAATGTTGATTCATGTCAGGGTGCAGAAATTATTCATGGGAATGGTTCCAGGGATGAAGAACTTCAGTCACACGGACAGACTGGTAAAGTTGGGACTGCTCTCCTTGGGAGCAGAGAAGGTTGCAGGGAGATTTAATAGAAATATTCGTAATCATCAGGAGTCCTGATGGAGTAGTTAGGAAAAACTGTTCCAAATGGTGGAAACATTGAGAAACGGGGGGACAGATTTAAAGTGACTGGGAAAACAACTAATGGTGAAATAATGAAAATATTTCTTCATGCAGTGAGTGGTTAGCATCTGGAATGCATTGCCTGAGAGTCTGGTGGTGTTCAATTAAGGTACTCAAGAGGCAGTTGGATTATTCTCCGAAAAGGAAACATATTCAGGACTGAATGGGAAAGTAAGCACAGTGGCACATAGGTAAGTGTTCTTTTAAAAAGATGCATGTAGACATTGGACCGAATGGGCTCCTTCTCTTTTGTAACCATTCTATCATTCTATGTTCATTTTAGTTTGATTCAGTAAAAACCTTAAAAGTTGAAATCTTGTTGCGCAATTCATTTAAATTGGTCACTGCAAATACAAATTTAAAGAAAAATGATTAGATTTTATGGAGTTCACAACAACAACGGTATTGATATAAGGTTTACATTTTGCTACTGAGCATTTTTTTTATTCATTCATAGGAAGTGGCCGTTGTTGGTTGGGCCCGGATGTGCTGCCAATTCCTAATTGCCCTTGAAGTGATGGTGAGCTACCTTCTTGAACTGTTACAGTCCTTGGTGTGTAAGGGTACCCACAGTGAATTTAGGGAGCATGTTCCAGGATTTTGAACCCACGACAGTGAAGGAAATGATTTAGTTCCAAGTCATAATACTGTGTGACTTTGGGGAGGACTCGCAGGTTGTGGTGTTTCCATGCATATGCTGCCCTTGACCTCTAGCGAATAGAAGACTTGCGTTTGGAAGGAGCTATTGGAGGAGCTTTGGTGAGTTACTACAATAAATAGTATATGATTAATAATATTCCTGCCACAATGCATCAGTGGTGAAGGGAGGGAATATTGAAGGGATGTCAATCAAGTGGACCACTTTGCCCTGGATAATTACAGCTGATTGCTGCTAAACAACTGCTGCTTTATAGAACAAGTGACAACCCCTTCAATAACTTTGTTGTCGATCGAGACTAGGTTGTTAGTGTAATGATTACCCAGGTTCGATTTATCCTATATTATGGGGACAGGACATCCCTGGGCAATCTTCCACATTGCTGGATAGGTGCCAGTGTTATGGCTGTTCTGGAAATAAAATGTACTTTAAGAATTTACAACTAGTCCTGCATGTTCAAACATGCAGTAGTCTCCATGTGAAGTAAAATCATTTTATACCAAAATTATCAATGTTATGGAACTGCATTATAAACTTTTCCAGCTTCAAATAAACCCTTCTGGATTTTTTCAAAACATTGCCAGTCCGGAGCAATTACAAAACTCCGTACTCGGACATAACCTGCTTTTTAACAAATCTAAACTATCTTTTTCCTTTCTTAGAAACTTTACACATCTATTTTCATGATGTGAGAAGAACCCATCAGAACTGTCTAAACTGAAACTAAAAGAAATTTTTTATTCAAACCTGTGTGTGTTTTCCATAATCAAAATCGATCCCTGACCTTCCAAATAGGATACCAAGGAACAACTATTTATCTTGTTCATTGGTAAAGTTTTCCAAAAGTAAATAAAATCCTATTAATATGCAGAAGTCTTTCTCTCACTATGTTTCAAAAAAAAATTACCATAGCTACAAAAGTACTTAAAAGTTAATCATTAAACCACTTCAGACACACAGAAAATCCATATGCTAATCATTCAAGTTCAAAAATCTAAACCCAGAAACAAATTATATTAAAATATATATGAGTTAAAACTTCACATTACACACTACATACTAAATCTAGTGATCAAATAAAATATTGTACTCTCCAAATGTAACAGAACAGATTTAATTTCATGTCTTAGCAAGCGCAATCTACAGATCCAGCCTAAACCATGAACTCTTAGCATACAATACTGAATTAAATCAAAGTCACAAAATGCTGTGCATCTAAACCAGTTCTGTTAAAATCAAATAATTGAGCACTCTTCAAAGTTTTAATCTGTCATTTCTCTTTCCAAGTACTAACTGACTGGAAATATGTTTCTAGCTTTTCTAGCATTTTTAATTCAAATTTTCGCTGTTTAAATTACTATAATCAATAGGATTAAAACCAGCTCTAATTCACACATTGAATGTACTTGAATATGTTATTTATTTCACACAGTAGTCAGCATCAGACATTACAGAATATTCCCTATGTCTCTTAACATAATGCAATTCTTAGTGTTATAATGAAGACTAATGTGATGTGAATTTAGTGTCTTAGAATAATGAGTGTCAATAACAACCTGCACAGTATAACATCCCTAAAACAATAAAATCCCCCAACGCATAGCTTACCAGCCTCTTACTACCCTCAGGAAAATTTCAGAGGACAGCTGCCAAGAGGTAGCATCTTCAACATCATGGAAGACTTCAATAGCTTCTCCACCCAGTCTGTTCTGATCATAGATGACAATCTGTAAAACAGAATTTATTTAAAAATTGGCTTTGTGTTCCATTAATAAATTGTCTGATTTAACATTGGCACATGATCCTTACCTTTCCAGGTCTAGAATTCAATGCTGAGTCTCTTGTTCCAGGTATCTATTAAAATAATTAAAATCCATTTAATTTTCATTCTGCATGATCTAACATCTAGTTATCTTCTGCAACTTTTCAACCACATTTACGAATGTTAGAGATACTGCATAAACCAATGTCCGAAGTCAGTTTCTGAATTTTCCATGTTGAGTAAATTTGCCATAATCCCGGACAGCTCAGTAGAGAGAATTGACTGGTGGTGAGGTTAACTTGAGGGCCATCACCCCTCAGGCAAGGAGCAAGGTCAAGCAGGCAGGAGCTTCAAGGTAATCTCAGTCAGTGCAGGAATTGAACCTGTGCTGTTGGTGTCACTCCACATCACAAATCAGCCATCCAGCCAACTGAGCTACCCAATACCTCATGTTATGTATAGAACTAGTGGTAATGAATTGTGCAATCTGTGGGCAAGATTTAATGTGACCTGTCATGGTGGAAAACATGGCGGCCGGGCCCATGTAATTGTGGAAGAGGTCTCATGTCAGTCTCTCACTGGCGGGAAAAGTTCCCCTGATCAAGTCAGAGGGCAGAAGGGGCTGGCAAGGGATTTCTAACCATGACGAACAGGATATCATTTGGCCTCATTAATAATGAAATTAACATCTATGATCACGGAGCCCACTGCAGTTTAACAGGTCAGTGATTAAATGGAAGCCACAAGGAGCACCCACACCGTCAGAAAGCCACCACCAAAACCCTGTGGTTTTCAGCCGTAGCCAGCCCAGGGCAAGTGGCAGGTTGGTGGAGGCGTTGCCTTATTATCACCCAATTCTGTGCTCAATCGATGGATCTAGCAATGGTCAGAAGAAGGGTAATACCGAAATATTGACTTCTCCTTTTAGCCAGATGCTGCCTGGCTGGTGCTATGTTCTTCCAGCCCCCTGGTTGTCCACCTTGGATCCCAGCATCTGCTGTTTTTTTGTCTCTAATGGTCAGAAGGTTGGCTGTGGAAAGGCACCCCTCTAACCTCTGCTCCAATCCCCCTCCCATGTCCTGAACTCAACAATGGACATCTTACTTTCACTCACCTTTCACCTGAGCTCTCCTGCTAATTCTGCACCTCGATTGGCTGCACGACCACTAGCAGCAACCATTCTCAGTAACACAGGTAGCAATGAGGAACTGCTGGCCTCTGAATGGACGTCAGTCCTGGAGGCAGCCTGACAATGGCCAATTAAGTGCCCAAACGCCATTTGATTGTATCCGGTGCCCCACCAAATGGACAGGTCACCCTGCTGTTTCTCCAACCAATGTGCAAGGCCTCTGTCTGCCCTACAAAATCCTAGCCTTCTTATGATAGTTTTAAAATTGGGTCTGTCATATCTCTGAGAGACATCCTAAAGCATTTTCCATTTATGACTTATTTTGATCTGTACTCACTGAGGAAATGAAGGAAGGAAGTATACCCATTTTTCAAATTAACAAGGCTCCACAAATAGTAGTGAAATGACCAGTTCAGCTAGTTTTTATGCTGATGGTGAGACACACACATTAGGCAAGCTATCAGGAGGATTTACCAGTCTTAATGTCCTCCTGAACAATGTAGATTGGCATTGTAGTGAAAAGACTGTGGAACACTCCCTGAGAAATCATTCAATTGTTCAACTCCTTCTACTTCCTTCGTGTATAGACACCCTACCCTCTCTTTGCTTAAGCTGATTACCTGTGTATGTGATTTGATCTCAGTAATGAAACTTTTTCTTTATAAAACTTTGTAATTAATAGGCTGCTTCATTTTGATCCAGTTAACCATGTTTTAATTGAGGTTTGATCATTGTGTTGAAAAAAAAGAATATAAAGATTTGTTCTGGCTGTTTAAAAAGGAGCAGATCACCCCTCCTCATCTGGTCACAACGGAGTCTAATACTGACCCAGCAAAACTTGCAATGTTATAAGAACCACTAAATGGATAGGGCAACAGTTGAATAAGAATTTACCCAATTTCAGCATGTAGCAGTAAGTGCCCTCCAGAGACTTAATTTCTTCTAAAAAAGAAGACAAGTCTATAAATGCCTTGCAATACACCACACCTCAAGGTACTCCAAAGCAATGCAGAATACTTACATTTTAATAACATTCACTAAAAGTACAGTTTAACTTAACATATAATCCATTTTAATTAATAAGTTAATTTGTACACAAATTACCTGCTCATAACACTTTATCTGCCCCACCCCTTTTTTGGTCTCATAAATCTATACAGACATAAGACCAAATTCATTAGAGATTTCTTTGTTAAAGACAAGGAAGTTGAGCTGCTGCAACTGCATTTTTCTTTTTTTTAATAATTTGAAAAATATTCTCGCTATTTTATAACTGACCATAAAAATTATTCAAAAGACAAAAAGACAGCCATTGTCAATTGATAAACGAGTAGATCATAACAATGAAGTTATACTTTCATAATAACTAATTTTTAAATTCTACTGCCAAATAACAACCAAAATGAACTTACCCCAACTTCTGGAAGATTAGACAATACTGACTTTGGAGTGAACAGGTCTGTATTGAATAAGCTTGAGGCATTTTGATTGCCATCTATAGTGTTTGATCCTTGTAATGCAAGTGTACTGTCAATTGCACATATGTTTGTAAAATCGGTATTACTTTCCAAGAAATTGTGTTTTATGTCAGGGATAGTTAATCCATTTTCTGATTGTTGTTCTGACTCAGCAGGTTTCTCTTCTATCTCAGAAGTGTTAGATTTCAAATAGTTTTTCATAAAGCTTGGCAGCTGGGTTTCAGGAAAAGTTGAATTTGACAAATCAAATTGAAATCCTTGAACAACATCATTTTTTGGAAATGGTGTGAGATCAGCAGGTTCCATCACAGCTTCAGTGGACGGTTTGCAATTTTGTGTAGTTATCTCATCAATCTCTAAACGTGATCTTTTACTGCTTGATTCAGAAGCAAGATCATTTGCTGCCTTTTGCGGTTTTGGTAAACCCAAACGTGAGCTTTTATTTGCAAGAGATTTAAAAAGCAAGCTCTGTTCTGCAGATACACGTTTGACTACTTTGGACTTCGTTTCAATTTGGTGCATTTTGAACAGAGAGGAAGGTGGCTCGCTTTTATGTTTATTTTTCATTAAACCAAATTTGAATGATGTTGAATCAAATGTTTTCTCCTTCTTTGGTGATGTATGGTCTTCTTGGATTGGTGGCATGGCAAATGGTGGCACTGAAGGCACTTTAGGAACTCGTTGCCTCTTTTGAGGCAGTTGAATGGGATTGCCATATTTCCGAATTGTTTCTGTAAAGCTATCCATATCAGAAGAGCTATCTAAACTACTTCCTTCACTGAATGAAAAGTTAATTCCTCTTCCCCCCTCAGAATTTGAGGCTATTTGTTCTACTGATGATGCAAAGCCTTCTGCTGATGAAGCCAGGTCTACATTTGGTTTGACAGTTGCTCGAGTGTTCCACATATCGTCAACTACGAATGTTTGGACCATAACATCCTGGGGTTGCAATTCTCCTACATTCTGGACAGACAGAGAAAATTCATTTGTTGTTGCACCTAGCTGAGAATGTTTTGCAATGAAATTTGCTGATTGGGCAGCTTCTGGTCTGGACATGTTTCCTGCGGATGCCTCCACATTTGAAAATGATACTGCTCTCCATGGTTCCATCTCTTTATGCTGTACTTTAGGTGTGCTTGATAAGATAGGTAGACCAAAATTGTTTATTGCAGACTCTAAACTAGGCCTTTGCTCAATTGTAGAAGAATTCTTATTCGTTTTGGCTCCAGTGCTCTTGGCTGTTTCTAGGCTCTGGGTCAAGATTTCCTCTCTAACTTCAAAGTTTCTATTTTCTAACAAAGACGTGTATTGCTCTACAGGTAGGGAAAACACTCCTCTTGTTGCAGTGGAACCAGTGCCTGTATCATTAGTACCATTTTCTGTGGCAACCTTCATCACTTCAGACGTTGTGGTAGATGTCTCCAAACAAGCAGCTTCTATGTCTTTTACTTTGGATCCTCCACATTGCATTTCGGCCATCCCTTTTTGTACAGGTAGGATGAGGTCATCACTGGTCAAAGTATTCAATTCATTAAAACTGTTTGCAGACATTTTGTTATTATTTTCAGCGTCTGGTGATACTGTCACTTTTACTGCGCTGTCATTATTTTGTAGTAGAGGCATGTTCTGTTGTAAAGATAGTTCAATCTCCCCTTTTGCTTCATTTGAACCCAACTCGGTGTTACTAGCAATATTTGAAGGGGTGTTTATCTTAATTTCATGCATTGCAATTTTAGAGGCTTCTACCAACAAAGTTTGTATGTCATGTATTTCTTTTTCCTTACATGTTGAGTTTATTGTGCTATTTTGCAAAGGTTGAACAACATCATCTGTGCCTGTTTTTTCCTCCTCTATTTTTGACACTTCTACAATGTGAGGTTTTGTGGCTCCTCTGTCAGGGTTTCTTGGTTGTGTCTGTGTTGAACTTAAGTGCACTGGTAAGGCACCTTCAACTACTATCAAACCCAAGCTTTCCTGCTCATTCGTAATGTTTATGTTTGAGCCCTTTTCTATTTCAGACACAGTGTTTTTACGTGTTTGTTCAGGCTGAGGAAGTGCATTCTGTGTTTTGGAATCTCTATTTTGCAGCAACGGTGAAATATTCTGAGCAAATTCACCCTTTTTTGCCCCTGATTCAGGTATCATTTTCCCATCACTTTTTGCAGATACTTCCTTCCCAACATCAACTGTAGTTTCAGATATTTGTGTGCTCTCAAGTGAAGTTATATCATTTATCTCTCCACGTTGAGGTTTTGGTGGACTTTGTTGAGCAGTTTCAACTATTGCATTGCCTGCTGTATACTTTTGGACCACATTCATGTCTTTGATATCAGGCACTGGAGTTGGGGATGTTTGAACTTTCTGCGGTGATGCTGTGTCCTTAACTTTAATGTCATGTTTTTCTACAATGAGTGGGTTTTGCTGAACAGGCTGGACATGCTCATTTTGTGCCTCACCTTGCATAGTCTTTTGCTCATTAATATTCTGTGTGGGGGCAACACTCTCAATTTCAGATTCTGTGCTTTCATAAATCCGTACACTTAATGGTAACGATGTCTTTACTTTGATTTCTCTACTTTGCAATTCAGCTCCAGTCAATGGTACAGATCGGGCAATATCACTGCTGGCTGCAGCTAAATGACCCACGTGTTCTCCAGCACCTTTAATGGGGGCATCAATTTCTTGTGAAGTCATTCCAGAAGTAAGCCTATCCATAGAAAATGATTGATCTTTCACACCAGGGTTTGTACATGATTCTGAAGAAACCACTCCAAGTGAGCTACTTTCTTCTGGTCTACCAGTTTGTGCATTGGGAACCATTTCTAAAGGTCTCTTTTCAATAGGGGCACTTGTGGTTTTCAGTTCTTTGTTTCTGTGGTCTTCTGCAGAAATGTGCTTTGTGTCACTATCATCCACCTCTACATGTTTGGGAGCCTGTGGCTTCTTTTGGCCAATATTAGTTGCACGGTCAACTGCTTCTTTGTCACATTTATTGTTCAGTTGTATCGTTAGGCTACCAATATATCTTTTGCTGTCCGTTGAGCCTAAAGGCAGATCCTTGGTGGCAAAGAAATCGACTTGGTGGTGACTTGTAGCTTTCTGTTTTTTTAGAAGAGTAATTCTAATGGTTTCTTCCTCCTCAGTTCTTGTTTCAGTGCAGGGTCCTTGTTGGTTTATAGTGATCAAATTGCCAGATTTATCTTCCTTTCCAGTTGCTCGACTGTGAAAGCAAACAAATAGTGTGTAAGTTGCACAAAGAAAAGTAAATATTTTGCCCCAAACTCTAGCAATTAACCTGCAAAGATTTGTTGGACTCATCATCAGGCAGTGAATCAATTTCCTTGAACTTAAAGGGGAAGGAAAGCTAAAAGGTAGCACATTTTCTGTTGGTATTTAAAAAAAAAATTCTCCCACTGGCATTTCATTTAATTTTGTTTAAGATACTCCACTGGATTTCAATAATGGGAACATCCTAAAGTGAGTCAGTTACCACCAGGAGAAGAATCATCTAGGATTTGCCCAAAGCTCAAGAAATAAGGCTGAAAACCAAAATGGCAAGTGAATGGTTTTCCTTTCAAATAAAAGGATGGACATGTATAAAAATCAATGATTTGCTGTATGTATCAAACGGACATGGAAGGGAGATCAGACAGAAGTGCAACAGAGCCAGGACTGAGTGTCAGACAGAACTCTGTTTAGCCAGTATAATACTGAGGTGGTTCTAATAAACAGTAAGATCTAAAACCTCTATACTACAGTCCTGTAGTCTGTACAAGAATAATCACAACAAATTGACGTTTTTAGAAAAACCTAAAATCAAAACATGTGAAGACCACAGCATTTGGTGTAGTCAAAGAGGATAGTCATATCACATCTTCAGGTTGGCTTTGCAAAAGGTCAGTAATTTATTTACCACCCACAGTTAGTGCAGCAAACCTATCTAACAACTGGCTGACTGAGTATCAGAAACACCTAGACTGAGGACACAGGTCAAGAGGTATTGAGTAGAGGTGGTATAGCCATGCTGATGGGCTCCAGTGTATAAGCAGATAGCAGATGAAGCTAGGTGATAGGATAAATTTTAAATCCAACCACATAACCTCTGTGTGGTGAGATTTATAACTTTGTTCAGACCACTCATCAGTAAAAATGTTGCAGAAATATGAAGTGGTGCAGGGGACAGTTGTCCTAGCAGCTGAGAAGTGAAATGATCTCACAAAAATTGAGGTTTAATTGTGGGATAACTGCACAGAGGCTGGCATCCCATCAACAAGTCATCCTTCATTTACAAGAGCACAGTACATGGGCTCTGACCAGCTAGCTCAGTGCCAGTCCCTACAGTAAGGAGGGTCTTTGAGATTCCTGTTTATATCTGTCAGCTAGGCTCCCTGATTGGCCCATGTTAACAGCCCCAATCAGGGATATGTGGAACATTCAATAAGATCCATCTGGCCAACTTTGTTCTAATCACTACAAATTGGTTTTGAAGTTGAGAAGCAGCAATTTTTGGTTGATGTTACCATGGGATTGGGATATTTTAAAATGCAACTGATAGATAGTTTAGTGGAAAAATTAGTATCTACTAATTAGGAAAGAGATCTGCTTTGGAAATTATAGAAATATGCCATGGTAATTACAAGTCTTTGACAGGCCTTGTATTTCTCCCCTAATTTAGCTAAAATCAAACATGTGAATTGGAAAACTTTGAAAAACATTATGAAAGAACCAACTGAGTTAGAAACCGTCTGAAGTAGTTAGCCTATGGTACACATTTGTGTGCTTTACAGCAGGATATGGAAAAAAAAAGGCGCTGCGAGAATTAGTGAAAGAAGTTGGAGGGTATAAATATTTGCCAAACAGGAAAGCAATGTCCCGCACATGGCATAATGTAACACAAGGAAAGGACTGCTGGCAAACCCAACCAGCAACTGGACAAACTGGATATTGATTTTTAGATGGATTTTTCCCCTGATTTAGCTAAAATCAAACATAGTAGAAAACTTTGAACAGACAGCTGGAGCTGTGACTACTATCTCACAAGACAAGGCAGGTAACCTTGGGAATGCAGTTGAGTTCCACTGTTCCACCTGTCCAAAGTAGTGAGACAAAGCCCATCTCCTGGAAATGGTGGACAAAGGACCCTTAGACACAATTAAGGAAGTGATCAGGACCCTGTACAAGTCCCGTTCACCCAGTGAGGTGAAAGAGGCCCCCATATGAAAATTGCATTGTATTCACAGAGCAGTCCCATGATTGTCACAATGATAACATCCCTTACATTCGAATGAAGGCAGTATTAAAACAAGCAGTAGTCCCCAAGCATCATAGATTCAAAACTGGTTTGATCAAGAGGGTTTAAAATGTGAAACTTTGAGAATTACATGAACCTCCATTTTAAAAAAATAAATATCTAAATGTTATAAAAAATGGAGAATTTGTTTTGAAAAAATATTTGACATATTCCCAAAACCTACAGATTAGTAAAAATTTGACACACAACCAATTTGAACATGTTTGCATTTGTGACAGCTTCCACAAGAAAACAAAATATAAACATGAAATATGAGGGAAAAAACAAAAAACAAAGTATGTAACATTTCGACATGACGTCACCTGGTGACTGTAACCCTGCTCCTTCTCTTTCTGCTGATAAATTTTAAATCCGACCACACAACTTCTGTGTAGTGAGACGTGTAATCTTGTTCAGAATTAGGATTTGGTTTTCTAAATTTATGAATGTGATTAGACATTATTAACCCATTGGATTTCTAACCAGAACAATAGCGGATTTCCATTTTTGTATTTGTGTTTTTAAACAGATCTCAAGAGTCAACCAAGGCCATAGCAAGAGACCCTGATGTCTTACAGATTCAAGAACTTACCGATGGACAAATTGTGAGAGAACAGGAGAACCCTGAACTGACCGTGATCACTTGTACTATTAAAATGTTGTTTTAAACTACCAAGCTTAGATACGATTGTTTCTGAATTTGGAATCAATAAAATAACTTTGTATTTAAAAAATGGGAAAGATTGTTTCAGAAGAAATTAATTGACCACCATCAAAATCTGTAAACCTAACAATGCTGCTCTACATAAAACAAACCCTCATATCTGTTGTTGTCATATCTGATTTTGGAATAATTTTAAAAGAAGGAAAATTTGAGCATAGTTCAGCAAACCACTTCGAGAAAATTAGATGTATTTTCTGTAAGAACGGGTAAAGAAGCAGAAATATTTGGAACCACACAGCTATGTTTGATTCTGTTTCAAAGATAGTACAATAACACCTTTTTAAACTGGGCAATAGGGTTTCTCCAGAGCTGCTGAATCAGATAGAATAGTAATTAATGGGACACCCCACTTATAATAAACAATAGTGGTGGAAAAACGTGACACAACAACAAATAGAAATAGGAATAATTCATTTTAGGTATAGTTAAATGGAGTATACCAACTAGAAGGAAAGTGTAGATGAAATTAACCATTGCCAGTGTAATTTTGAAGATGCCCATGAAGCTTTTTTTAAAAGAGGACTGAACTGGACAATTTCACCACCACAAAGAACATTAGGATCAAGCAGACAGGATACGCGTGTCCCCGAAATCCATGCCTCCCCACAACTTTTTAACCTTTCAAAAAGATCACCTGTAGACATTAACTTAAAATCTGTTGGGTTAGCTAAAATGAAGTTAAATGTCATTACATGAAATGCAAAGGAAATACATATGAAGCCTGGTAATGACCTAATTATTTGTAAGGTCATTGGTTTTAATATGTTTCTGTGTTTTGCTGAAGGAATGTTAAGGTGTTTAGATTGAGCGCTGTGCTTTAATTGTAATGGACTAACTGTAACAGGAACTACAGAAAAATAGAAGTCTTGTTTAAAAAAGACCACCGCATGTGATAATGTGGACCATTTGTTAGCTAAATGTTAGATTGTCATAGAATTGACAATAGAATTGTGCTGTGTAAACATCACATGAGTGATTAAACAACATAAAAGTGGTGTACAGCAAAAGCAAACTAAAATTGACTGCGAGAGTTCACTAAAAACAAGAGATAAACCTCTCTCTACGGAGATGCATTCAAGTCTTAATGAGTTAAGACAATGGTAGGTGACACATTTGTGATGTGAAAGTGGGAATAAAAGCCTATGCACGTGAAAATCAAGAATGTATGGCATGATCTTAGGATACAGATGTAAACATGCGGAAGTAATTTGTTACATCTGAAGTAACTAACATGAGGGAATGCACAGTGAAAATGCACTGAAGACTAGGTCTCAAATATAACTTGACAAGGTGGTTGTTGTGGCACAATGAGCAAGAGGAGATCGGGTAGATTTGGAACAGAGAAAGGACACAGAATCAGACAGAATTCTGTTTAGTCAGTGTAATACTGAGGTTGTTTCAATAAACACAAAGTTAACCGGCATATTTGAGTCCTCCTGTGGTCTATGTAAGGAGAATAACCACAACATCACGAAGCAACTTACCACATGTTCTGAACCTGCTTCAACTGAAGATGACTGATATCTGATGTTAATTATTCACCAAGGTGTCAAGTAACCACTGACAAACAGATTTAACTCCTTCAAGGGTAAGAAAAAAAAAGTTGCCTCCCAGTAAAGTTCATATATTTACCTGCTGGCCTGTTATAAATATTAATGTGGATAAGTCCAATATAACACATACTGGTATTGGAAACATGAGTCTGGACTTTGACAACAAATCAGGCAGGTTGTCACTCCATGCCAAATGATAAAACAAAGAACAGTACAGCACAGGCCCTTCAGCCCACCAAGACTGCACTGACACACATGATGCCTTTCTAAACCAAAAACCTTTTGCCTCTACACTGTCTTAATCCCTCTATTCCCTGCCTATTCATATATTTGTGAAGGTACTTCTTAAACTTTGTTCTTGTATCTGCATCTACCACCTCCTCCAGCAGCACATTCCAGGCACTTACCAGCTTCTATGTAAAATACCTGCCTCTCACTTCTCCTTTAAATGAACCCGCTTTTATGTTTAACCTAGGTCCCCTAGTAGTTGACATTTCCACCCTGTGAAGTAGTGAAGAGATGTTGTGAACAGATGTTGTGAGTCACCTTGAGATAGTGGCAAAAAGGCCACTGGAATCAGTACACAGTTTGAATCTTGATTCAAGGGATTATTGATTTGGACCTCTTAATGTTTAGTTAAAACTGTAGCCTATCTAAAATTTGGTGTCAGTCAATAGGTAACTATTTCAAACATCACAACATCTTTGCATCAACAAGTCAGTCTGGCTACATTTTCAGAAAGTACGTAATTTCTTAAAAGTTCAGTGTTTCTGTTCTTTGAAGGACAAATTCAAAATCAAGTATTGGAAGTGGGGATATGTAGGTTTACGAAGCATGAGAACATGGCAGCATTACCATCAACTATTTTGATAGTGGCACAGAAAGAGACACAGCATAGAAACATACAAAAACCCAGACGATGTAGTATATTTGGACTTTCAGAAAGCATTTGACAAAGTCCCACAGAAGAGATTAATGTGCAAGATTACAGCTCACAGGATTGGGGGAAGTGTATTGAAATGGATAGGAAACTGGTTGGCTGAGAGAAAATGAAGAGTAGGAATTAATGGGTCCTTTTCAAATTGGCAGGCAGCAACTAATGGGGTGCCACAGAGATCGATGCTGGGACCCCAGCTATTCACAATATATATTAATGATTTGGATGAGGGAACAAAACGTAACATCTCCAAGTTGGCAGATGATACCAAGTTGGATGAGAGGGTGAACTGTGATGAGAATGCAGAGATCCTTAAGCATGACCTCAACAGGTTGGGTGAGTGGGCAAATCAATGGCAGATGCAGTATAATTTGGATAAATGTGAGGTTATTCACTTCAGAAGCAAAAACAAGAAGGCAGGTTACTGAGATAACAAGGTGTAGAGCTGGATGAACACAGCAGGCCAAGCAGCATCAGAGGAGCAGGAAGGCTGACGTTTCGGGCCTAGACCCTTCTTCAGAAATGGGGGAGGGGAAGAGGGTTCTGAAATAAATAGGGAGAGAAGGGGAAGCGGATAGAAGATGGATAGAGGAGAAGATAGGTGGAGAGGAGACAGACCGGTCAAATAGGCGGGGATAGAGCCAGTAAAGGTGAGTGTAAGTGGGGAGGTAGGGAGGAGACTCTCCACCTATCTTCTCCTCTATCCATCTTCTATCCGCCTCCCCTTCTCTCCCTATTTATTCCAGAACACCGTTCCCCTCCCCCATTTCTGAAGAAGGGTCAAGACCCGATACGTCAGCTTTCCTGCTCCTCTGATGCTGCTTGGCCTGCTGTGTTCATCCAGCTCTACACCTTGTTATCTCAGATTCTCCAGCATCTGCAGTTCCTACTATCATCGAAGGCAGATTACTACCTGAATAGCTGTAAACTGGGAGAGAAGAGAGTGCAGCAGGACCTGGGTGTCCTTGTGCACCAGTCGCTGGAGGTAAGCATGCAGGTGCAGCAGGCAAATGGTATGTTGATCTTCATTACAAGAGGTTGAGTACAGGAGAAGGGATGTGTTCTTGCAGTTGTACAGGGCCTTGGTCAGACCACACCTGGAATATTGTGTGCAATTTTGGTCTCCTTTACTGAGGAAGGATGCTCTTGCACTCGAGGGAGTGCAGCGAAGGTTTACCAGGCTGATTCTGGGGATGGCAGGTCTGGCTTATGAGGAGAGATTGACTAGGTTGGGATTGTTTTTGCTGCAGCTCAAATGAATGAGGGGGGAATCTCTTCGAGACTTATAAAATTCTAACCGGACTGGACAGGGTAGACCCAGGGAGGATGTTCCCGATGGTGGGTGTGTCCAGACCAGGGGTCACAGTATGAGGATTCGGGGTAGACAATTTAGGACAGAGATGAGGACACATTTCTTCACCCAAAGAGTGGTGAGCCTTGGAATTCATTACCACAGGAACTAGTTGATGCCAAAATATTGGATGTATTCAAAAGGTGACTAGAAATAGCACTTAGGGCGAATGGGCTCAAAAGGTTATGGGGAGAAAGCTGGATTAGGCGACTGAGTTGGGCGATTAGCCATGATCGTGATGAATGGCAGAGCAGGCTCGAAGGGCCAAATGGCTGCCTCCTGCTCCTATCTTCTATGTTTCTATGTAAAAGCTGAAAATAAGAATCAGTATAAGACTAAATAAAGACATGGAGAAAGACACATTCTAATGAGCTTTCAGAAAAATTGCAGAATTGCAGCAAGGCAGAGTGGTTTAGAGAAAATTTTTCCAAGTTAGATGTAAGATCATTGAATGCTCCATCATCAAAGCTATAGGAAAGTGTTTTAACATGTAAATGAACAAAGAGCTACGGTGAATGCATAAACTACTATATAAGCAAAGGAGATAACCATTAGAGGCTGCTAAGAACAGTGGTGAAAGGGAAGTTACACAACATAGCCAAAGAAAGACAGCAGAATTTTGACCAAAACAGAGCTCAAGAATTTGGAAAAACTTCTAAAGTTCAGCATGGTGGTGATGAAGACAAAGCTGAGAACTGAGCTGTGGGTTAGGTAGAGCAGAGACACAATGTCATAGAACTAAGGTTTGAAGTTCATCTTGCAGTCCGAATAGAGATTGCACATCACTGCATTCGCTCCAGGTGAGAAGCTGAGAAGCAGAAGTGAGAGTCTGGGCCTGGGATGTGGACGTTTTAACAGGAGCTTAACTTGATGATTTTGGCATGTTGAGAACAAATATGGAGTTTAAAGAAAAAAACATGTACTTACAGTCTTATTTTTGTAGTGACTGTGGAACATAGTTGTGAGGTAACTGTATTACGGTCGATATTCGTTCCTTCCAAGTCATTAATTTCTGGAGTTTTCAGTATTCTCAGGTCAGCACTATGTTCATGCTCAGTCAAACTAGAGTTTTCCATCTTTTGCTGATTACATATTTGGCTAATTGAAGCAATGGTATTGTTTTGATCTGCAGAGTTTAAAGCAACCGAATTTTCCCCTAGTTCATTTGTATTTGCACTTTGTAAAGAAAATATGAAATCCTCATTACTTGCAGAACCTTCAACAGCTCTATTATCTACAGTACCAAAGCTAGTATCAAAATTTTCTGGAGCAATATGTTTTTCAACTTTTTGACCAGATTGTGAGGCAGTGCTGCTTGTTGATATGACATTTTCAGAACCACAGAATCCACTATCTGTATTTGGGGCCTTTTCCAAAGAAGACTTGACTTGGTTACCTGAAGCTGGATTGCAAGGCACCTGTTTTGAATTCTTTTTCCTTGATGTAGCTGGCTTTAAGAATTGTGCAGATTCTTCATTGGCTGGAAAAGATTTTGATAGTGTTTGATGAGGCAACAAAGAAGGAGTACTTTGCTTTGGTAAGGAGGTGGTTTCAGCTGAAGCTTCAGAAGACCTCTTGTTGGGATTATTGGAATCGATTCCTTTTGTTTCCTCTTCAAATGTATTAGTATCTGCACTTCCAGTACCTCTATCAGACTGCTGATCAGATTTCAGCGATCTCCTCTTCTTTCCCTTTCTTTTACCTCGTTTGGCTTCTGTAGGAGATTTTTTATCCATTTCAATAGACTCAGACAGCAAAGCAGTTGACTTTTCAGCTGTGTTGTTCAAATTTATTCTGCCATTGAGAGAGCAGTAAACTGTTTTATCAGTATTTTTTTCTGATTCCACCACACTGTTCTGATTTTCAACTGACGGGTTACTTGTTCTTAATTGTTCAATGTCATGTAAGGCTTCTGCACCTTCACAAATGTGAGGAACAATTCCTCCCTCTGCCACCTGGCTTTTTTTAGTATCTTGTGTGAATGTGTCTTTCTCGGATGAATTCTGTTGTTTTTTCAAAGTAGAATCACACAATACTTTTTGAGGAATATTGCAGTTTGCAGTTTCAGTTTTAAATCCTTGAGCCACAGAATGGTTCAACTGAACAGTTTCTGCATTTTTCAAAGTTCTTTCTAAAACATTCAGTTTCACATTAATATTGTCAATGGGTAATGAAACAGATGCTTCTGACAAGGTTACATTTGCATTTTCTTGGATTTTGGGAGGATGCACATCGATTTCAATAACGTCAGCTACCTGCTCAACCCTTAGAGTCTCAGAAATTGGTAAAACACATTCCTTTATGGCTGGAATATCTACACAGTTAGCAATGGTTTCACAGTCATATTGACTTTCAACTAGCCTGTCACTATTTACAAATTCAGTGTCTTTTACTTGCCTTGTAATCTGGGATATGTTTTCATTAATAGAGTGGGTATCAAGTTCACCAATCCCACATTCCTTAACACTTCTGTCATCTGAGAACAAACATGCATCTGCACAGACTTTAGGTAATGAAGTATCCTCTTTATTTACCAAAGTGTTTCCACAGACATTTGACACATTGCCTTCAAATTCTTTCTCTGGCTTTCTACCAACAGATGTTGGAGCTAATTGTTCTCTAGCACACTCAGGTCCAGCTTGTTTCTCAGTTTCACTGTTGGTGCTCTGCTGGTTGACATCAGCTATTATGATATTTTTATTTGCTGACCCAATCTTTTGGGGTAAACTCACTGATGGCTTGTCTGGATTACCAACACCTGGTATTAGGTCCTTTTCTTCTGGGGAGCCAGGCAATATCTCTGCTCTGTCTTGGACAGCTGCTTTAGTTTCTGTCACTCCTTCACGCCTGTGGTCTTGCGAAATCAAGGATGTTGCTGATTCAGGAATTTCCCCTACAATTGTGGTCTCCCCTGTATGACTTAAGTCCCTTCTCAAGGGAGGAGCTTCCTCCAGGGAATTGCTTTGGCTTAAAGACGCTGGGGATGCATTTTTTGAATTCTTTCTTCTAGTCGAGCCAAACAAACCTTCCAGATAATCCAGCACTTGATTTTTTTTGCCCTCTTCTGCCTTTTGGAGGCCTGGTAAACGAAACTAAAACATTAAAAAAAAAATTTAGAGAATATACAGCCTGCAGAAAGACAAGTTTTGTATACAGTGTAAGTTTTAGAAAAACATTTAAATAAGATCTATGCCATCATTTTGGGAAACCAGGTTTATCCAAAACTAATGATTTGGACTGTTAGGACAGCCCGAGTGTATATATACACCGGAAATGCGTTAGTTTCTGAACGAATGCTTTCTGTGCATAAACTTTCTCAATACCTTCTTAATTTCTCAATAAAACTGACACAAGCTTAAAAATAAAATTCAATTCTTTCCTTTCCAACAGCACAATATTTACAAACGGGCCAGAAAATTAAAACAAAAAGAACGGCTGCGTAGACATGCCCAAGAGGTGAAAGCGCTCCTGCTGCCCCTGTGCCGCGAGCTCCAGGTAAGCGCTCCT